TTATCCGATCGATCCGAATTTTGAATACATTTTCACTTTAGGCTTGACTAACAAAAAGAAAGAAAAAAAAAACTTAAGCGAAATAGTATTTAGCTTTGTACAATTTTAGCTTACGTAAATTAATGAAATGCAAACATAAATAGATTTCACTGTAGTAAAACTAAAGTTAGAAATTACACTTAGACATAGCTCAATCGATTAATCGATCGGTCAATCGACAATGACTACATAGTTGGAGGCGGCTTTTGAGGGATGCATTTTGGTCGGAACTGGCTGGGTGTAGCTAAAATTTGTGCTGGACTTATTGTTGTCAAGCGCACTGCCAATGATCATCTCGAGAGCACCTTTGATTTGGAGCAGCTGGCAGGTGAGCTGCACCTCCGATTTCATCGTCCGTTCGAGTCGCTCCAAGGCGTCGATCATGGGTTTGTTGTAGGCGTAGGCAGTTTTCTCAAATACATCCAACACAGCGTTTGCAGCATTCAAAAGCGGACGCATAAACCGCACCTCGCCGAGATGTTTGCAAAGGAAGTTGATAAACCTGATTATAGTTATATCTTTGCGATCCGTTAACGCAGCTTGCAGCGCACCTCGATGTTGCAGCTCCGTAATGACGGCCACAATGATCTCCGGGTGTTTACTAACATTTATCGGTGTGCAGACACAGTCGAGGGCCTTCTTATAGTTATATTTGCGCAGATGCTTATCGAATTTCTGCAGTTTGACACCTCTTCTTCTTTCAGATACCACTTGATCGACTGAAACACGCGACGGCGGACGTGCCTTCTGCATACGTTGCATACGTGCTTTGAAGTGACTGACCCTGATCTGTTTCAGGTGACTCGGTTTGCTTTCGACAATCATGCGCTTAATGGAGACAAGACCATCGACCATGCCGGCAACAACAGCCTGATCCTTGGCAGCAACGCCCAGGCTGACAACTGCATTTGGATAGGACAGAGTGTGGACAGTTTTGTAGGTGCTCACATCGTAGATCTTCACATGACGATCCAAACCGCCAGACAGTAGGCGTCGGCCATCGGAGCCGAGGCCCAGACAGGTGATTGTCTTGTGGTGCTGCGACATGGTCGTTAGCAGGCGACTGCCGCTAATCAAGTCCCAAACACGCACGTGTGTGCCACCGGCCGTGATGAATATCGAGCCATTAGGCAGAAACAGCATCGACTCCACTGGACAGCCATGATCCAGAGTCTTGGTTATGGTCTTCTCGGCGCGTGTGTCGTACAGATTGATTTTTCCATCGTAGCCGCCCGAGATGAACATATGAGATGCCTGCGGGTGCATTGCACCGGCTCGTATATAGTCGCTGTGTGCATCTTCGTATGTCTGCACCACTTTCTCGTTCGTCACATCCCAGAGCCGGACAGATTTGTCGTCCGCGAAGCTTGCCAGCTGGAGCTTGTCGGCGGTGAAGAAGGCGCGATGTACGGGCGCCTTGTGGCCCTTAAATAACCGCAATATGTTACGACTAGTCGTGTCGAAGATTTTAACGTGTCCTTCTTCGTCGCCGGCGGCCAGTAACCTACCATCCTGACGGAAATTGGCGCCGTAAGCGGTTTTTTGGAAACGTGACAGGTTCTTGACCACAAGCTTGGTCACCAGATTGTAGATTTGCACACGCACCGAACAGGTCAGCACAAAGTTACTCGGTTCACTGGGACTGAAGTCAATATAGTCTATCGTTGTATGCTCCTTCAGCAGTTCGGGTTTCTGTTCGAGGAAGTGTCTTATGTTTACTTTGATTATAGCTACAATAACGACAATACTTACCGCTAATCGATTCCAATAAATTGTATCGGGTGTGACCACCTGCGCCTTCTGTTGAAATCGTCGTATATTAAGTGGCTGGAAGTTAGTCATGTTTATTTTAATGTCTTCTTAGTTAATTAGCGTCAACGCGCGCGCACGTGGAAGGCAACAACATGTTGGGCATGCAAATTCCGATAATCTTATATCGATAATGATCATGGTCTGTAAAATGGTCACATTGTAATTTCATACGATCGCCAGCCGTTAAAAATACTGAATTTAAGTATTGTTTTCCCGGGTTTTAATACCTTAACTGAGATCGGTGAAGAAGGTACGTGACTTACGTGTAATCGATGTATTCGTGTCGCGAGGCATCGATACTATCAGAGCAACAACGATATTAATAACAACAATAAGCAGCGAAGCATATTTATTTACAAAACTACATATTTGTTTAACGTGTTCGGCTGGCGCTTTATGCGAATTGATGCCAAATACAGCACAACAACAAAAACAGAAGCAGCAGCAACAACGATAATAGCAAAAATGACAAGAATTATGCGTGATTGAATAAAAGTGTTGAACGCCGCAATGCTGATTCGTTAAAAACAAACAACAACAACAACAACAGCTGCAGTAGTAGCAGTGTCCAGCAAATAGATTCAATTTTAATTGAAATTTATTTATCAACGCCGAGGCTAAGGCCGTCGTTTCGAATGTGAACGATACATACATATACTGCCAAAGAAATGTCATAGTGAAGCTTCCAGTTAGTGCCGCAATTTCCCCTCTGATAGAATCTTTTAATTAACTCAACTCAAAGATGGGCTCGTGTCTGAATTGATGGACAAGAGGCGAAGCAGAAAAAACAAATAGAACGCATGAAATGTGGTAAATTTAAAACCATAAATATATAGATATTAATTGACAGCAATAAATGTGCCCAATACAATTGAATCGACGGAGGCAAGCGATCAATCGTCGACAGCAGCTGAAGAGGAACGGAACGGATCGTAGATCGAAACGCAAAAATGGAAGACGAAATGAATTTGGACTTGAACAATGAGAAGAAAGTGCTGTGCGAGAAGATCATCAGGGACATAAACGCTGTATTTCTCAAGGATGCCGATTTGTAAGCTAATTCAAAATGGAATTCACACTATATATATTTAATTGCAATCATGCAACCATTATATCCCTTCCAGAACCTCATTTGAGATCATACCCAAGGAAACGAACTGCAACAAGTCGCCCGTGGTGCACGTGGATCATAACTTGGGCTTGGAATCGTGGTGCGCTCAGCATGTGTATGATCATGCGCATCGCATCCTCATCGCCCATCGCAAGCAAACGATGCAACAACAACTGCGCGCACTGCAGCAGCAACAGCAGAGCGATTCGCTGGCCAAGTATTTGAATGTGGCCCTATTGATCAATCCAGATGTGACTACCTTTTGGCACATCCGCCGCCAGCTGGTGCAAAAGAATCGCCTAAGCATCAACAAGGAGCTGCAATTCTCAGCGCTTGTGCTGTCCATCAAGCCAAAGTCAAATGAGGCCTTTGCCTATCGGCGGTGGCTCTACTCTTTCCAAAGTGAGTTGCATCTCGCTTCTTCTTCTTCTTTACGTAAGGCACTTCGATATATATACATATATTGTTTTCTTTCAGGCGCCGATGCCATCGACTGGCCACATGAGATTAGCATTTGCGAACGTGCCGCCGATCGCTGTGCGAGCAATTATCATGCCTGGTCGCATCGTCAGTGGGTGCTGCAGAATGCCCCGCCCTGTTTGCTGCAGTCGGAGCTGATGCGAACGGAAAAGTTCATACGCAAGCATATAACCGACTACAGCAGCTATCATTATCGCCAGCTGCTGCTCAGTCGGGCGTACGAGCAGTGCTTCTACATGCCAGACGAATCGCAGCCACCGTGGAGCAGCTTGCGTGAGCTACTCGAACATTATGGGCTGGCAGTGGCAGCCCCAGCCAATGCTGATTGCGATGCAGCTGCAGAAGCATTGCTGCAGCTGTTGTTGCCTAATCTGAATCGCAACGGAGTCAGCGCTCAGCGACTTCGCTCCTTTCTCTATTGCTGCAATGTGGCTGCCAGCGATATGCGTTTGTGTGCCGAGCAGCGGCAGTTGTATGGAGTGCACGATTGCTTTGAGCTGCATCGACGCGCCTCGCTCAAGTTCATTGTGGAGCAGTGTCTACGCCTGCTGGCGGGCCTTGCCAACGGTCCCGGCTTTTATATGGCCCCCAACAGCGTGAGCCAAACGAACGAGCTGCGCAAATTTGATTGTGAATCGCATCCATTTCTCGCCGCAGTGCGTCGTGTCGAATTCCAATTGGGCGACAAGCACAAGCGTTGGTGTAAAATTCATCTCAATTTCCCCAATCAGGACTAACTGTAGATTCTGATTCAATTGTTCAATTGTTATTTGTCAAAATGTGCCGTATATGCAATGCACTCATGGAGGCTGTTTCGTTCTCTCAGCCAGAATCGAAAACAATTATGTAAACATTTATATAACATATATAGAAAAAAAAAAAATATATATATATATTTATATAGCTTATGTATAGAGACAAAGTAGTGCTCGTTATGTAGCGTCTACGAATGTGGACCACCTGAACCCTACCCTCCCTCAATAGAATATCTTGTCTACTTGTTAAGGGTCAGCTCAAAGCGAAACATTTATTAAATATCTGTATTCCAAACTGAACAACGTTTGCAATTTGTTAGATTTACCTATCGTATATATATTATTTTAAATGCATGCCAAACAAATACTATATCCAAATCTTTTTGTGCATGCAATAAAATAATTATGCTGCATTTCAAACTAAACTAACAAAGTTCAAGAATATACTCTCTCTTAGTTATATATCATTTATATACAAATATATATGTATATGTATATATATATGTATGAACTCAATGCTCTATTTAGATGTAATGCAAGCGTGTAATTTACACCAAATTTAATTTTGTAGTGCACAGTTGTTAGCCAATTTGCAATTAGTTTTAAATAAATGAAACCAAACATTTCTCAAAATAAAAGTGTTTCAATTAAGCTGAGCTCATTTTGGACTAAGAGGCGTGCTCTGAAGTCGCTTTTAAAAAAAAGTTGATTTGTTTATTTCTCCTTTTTTTGTAAATTTCATATTAATCAATTCTCTTCTATTTTTTATCTTTACCAACGAAAGAAAATAATACGTATTTTGTCATTAGCTCAACATTTAAATATTAAAAAAAAAAATAAAATAAAAAGAAGGAAATATATAAGCAGTACAAAAATAAATTTAATACATTTATAAAAAAATAAAAAAATAAAAATAAAATAAAACTGAAAAATAAATTAATAAAATCAAATTAAATTAATAATCATAACTGGAATGTCCAACTAAAAATACATACAATTTAATAATTTATTTATTTTTTAATGTTATTAAGCAAACAAAAAATGTACAAAATTTTATGTATATTTGCAGTAAAAATAATAATAAAATACAAAAAATTGTTTAATAAATATAAATAAATAAAAGAATAAAACATAGTCATAAAACATATCAATAATTATATAATAATCTAATGATTAAATAAAATGCTATAAACGTAACAATAAATAATAGAAAATATTAATATGAAATACTAATGATTAATTTTCGATTCATATAATATAATATATAAAAGTATATATTATATTCTCAAATTAAACTTGATCTCTAGGTCATTTGGATTTGATTGGGGTAAAACCAAGAGTTGGGTCGAAATTTATATTTTTAACGGCCAAAAAGGTTTGTCAATGGCAATATCCTACTTAGCTGATTGGGTTTAAGCCATTAAGTATGTATGTATGTATGTTAAGGTTGGGATTTGTTAAAACGTGAATAAATGCTTGAATTGTACTATAAATAATTGGACTTGCATATCCTGATGCTGTAATAATGACTGTACTTAGCCCTGATAAGTTTCTTGATTTTAAGTGGAATCTAATTTGTTTGTTATTTTGGTCTGAAGCCGCAAGCACGCAGCTGCTTAACTTAGCCACAGGCTATTGAAGGACATGCAGAGGAGGGTTTGGCGATAGAGGGGGCGTGGGCGGTGGTGTTGGAGGCAGATGCTGGCAATGGGGGTTCGCATTTACATGGGCATGGCATTAACATCAATCAGTGCGCATGTCAGCTGCTAGCAAGGGCCATTTTCAACAATGGCGAGATGACAGCAGCCGCAGCAGCAGCAGCAGCAGCAACAGCAGAAGCAGCAGCAGAAGCAGAAGCAGAAGCAGCAGCAGTAGGTTTTGGCTTTGGCTTTTGGTTCAGTGCGCTATTAGAGGAGTTTGCGTGTGGCTGAGTGAGAGAGAGCCTTGTCAACAGCAAAGCAAAGCCAAAAACAGTGCCAACCGAGACAGACATAGCCAAAACGGGAACGGCCCTTCGATTAGGCACCTAAATAGTGTTCATTTTTCTTCTGTGCGTGCGGGTGTGTGTGTGCTTGTTTGTTTGTATTTATGCTATAAACAAATTAACAAGGTAAGCGTCTTGACCAGTGCAACAGTGTTTAAGCCTAATACAAATCAAAAACCAAAATCAAAATTCAAAGTCCCAGACAAAGACAACGGCAAAACAAATAAACATTGGACGCGAGCTTTTTATACGCATACATACATATGTACACATGCACAGCAATTTACGCATCTTATATGCTTACATATGAATGTGTGGGTGTGTATGTGTGTCCACCTATACATTTGTGTGTAAATATGCAGAGCAATGCGGACAGCGCTGTCTTGTCTGTCTCTCCCTCTATCTGTGTGTGTGTGTGCGCGCATGTTTTTGCATTTCTTAAATGTTACATTTTCTATTTTGCATTGCATATTTATGAACAGTCGCCGCCTTTCCGGTTAACGGGCAAGGCGTTGTGATGGGATGGGCGTGTAAATCGTTTAATTACACTTCAGCTGTAGCCTTGAAGGCTGCTCCATGTCCCCGAAGGTCGTCAATATTTAAATTGTGCTTGACAGCAGAAGCACCAGCTAAAATTAATGCATATTAATAGTGTTGTCAAATCATTCGACTTCTTAACTTTGATGCAATAACGGTACATATACTAGTATGCACAGCTTAACGCTCACACATGCATACATACATATATACACAAATACATGAACATACATAGTTAAACACACACGTAAGCCGAACTAAGCACACACAAGCTCGGCTATTCAGCTTTTTGCGTTCTGTCTGTTCCCGTGTGTGCATGTGTGCGTGTGAGTGTATCGAGTGGACACACCTGATGATTTGCGTGTATGTGCATGGCATTGGTCCACATGTAGCACAAATACCAAAAATACGTTCATATGCACATAAATAGCTGAATAATCTTGAACATTTTTCATTTGCTTCTAGACTCTTCAATACTAATCTGTATCTATGTATTTGTATCATCTCAACAGGCAAAAATATCGATAAATACACAGTAAATAGTGCATATCAAACGACAGCAGTTGAAGTAGCTTTTGCAATAACAGTTTGACAACGACTGTGCTGCTGCTGTTGGCAGCGAGCAGCGGACAATGAACTCGACAATGCAAAGCGCCCACTAATTCACAAACAAACACTAACACTCTCACACTCACTCTGGTGCTCTCGCACTCACACTCATACTCTTTTCGTATATATGCATTTGCATAACGGTTCGCAAAGTCAACAACGGCAGCAATGGCCACTGCGATGCTGCGTTTGAGCGCAAGGACAACGAAACATTTGACAATTGCGAATCAAGTGAGCTAAGAGCTAATTACTTACATTCCATATATTTACTTGAGGAAAATAACAAGTAAAAACATGTCCGCTCTACGGTTTCCGTTTCCGTTTCCGGCATGCACAGCAAACAACAAGCAGCAACAACAGCCAGAAGAGGACAAACTCAACAGTTGCCGCATCTTGCGTTTGTCGTAGTTTCGTGAACTGACACACACACACACATACACATAGTCCAATATTCATATACACACACAAAACAAATTTGCATTAAAGTTGTAAAGAGCACGAAAATTTTGCCTAAAGGGGAAGCAATTGAAAATTCAAAATGGGCAGTTTGCCGAATTTGCATGAGCTGGAGGAGGCGGAGCGAAAGAGGGAGAAACGTCGAGAATACGAATTGTTGTTGGAGCAGCGTGCAAGGGACACGAGTCGTGAGTGCGAACGCTTATCGGTATTTGCACAGCAGCGTAAGGTAAGTGCGATACATGATCGATCGTCAAGCTATCGATATATGGAAATCAATTGCCAATTGGATTACCTTCACGACAGTACACTTGTCCAATTGGATTAATGTTAATTGATTGGCCGGGCCTTGGCCATGATCATGAATTATATGCGATTTTTGATATTTTCCTTTTCAGCAATCCTCGTACAATGCTTATATTATGTCTGGCCTGGGCATTGGCGGCATCAGCGGCGGCGGCGGTTCGCTAAGTCTTGCCACAACGGCCAATGGCTATGGTAACGGACACATAGAGCTGGCTAATGGTATAACAAGTCCTACAGCTGCTGCAGCTGGAACAGCGACTACAGAGACAACAACATCAGCCGTAGAGACAACAACAACATCAGCAACATCAACAACTGCAACAGCAGCATCAGCAACAACAACAACAACAACAGCAACAGGAACAACGCTGAGCGGTTTTGCCATGCTGGGCTTGGCTAGCAGCCTGATGAACAGCAAGAAATATCCGCATTCCTATCATCAGCACATGCATCCGCACCAGCATTCGCACCCGCATCCCCACCCGCATCCGCATCCACATCCGCATCATCAGCATCGACATTCGCTGACCACGCGGCATCGCGTGCTGCGCACTCGGACACGCAGCTCGGGCGGTCCACAGAATGTGTGGGACGAGCAGCTAATGGAGGTGAGTGGGTGGCACTCTGGGTTTAGCTCCTTGGCTGGCTAACTGATTGACTGTGCAGCCTGCATACAGCGCATAGCAGAATCCCGGCTCCGGCGCTCGGGCAGGCACTTGTCATTTATTTATAGTCTTTGCAAATTGTGCTTCTGGCTCTTTGCCTTCACTTCACAGCATCAGCTTCGATTTGGCTCAGGCGGCTGCCTGGCAACGGGGTCAAATGTCAGGGCAGTGGAGAGCTGGATTTACGCCTCCACGAGCACAAATAAGTAATTAAACGCAAACAAAGACGCACGACACTGGCCACTGCGCATATCCCGGGCACAGACTTTAATTTGAATCAGCAAACGACCTTCGACTAACCCATACCCCGCCTCCTGCGCCCTACTCCTGCAATTCGTTTGAAAATCCAGTTCAGCTTGTTGCTCGCGGCCACAAACGGGCAAAAGTCAAGTGTCAAAAGCAAAATCTGTCGATTGCAATCGCCTCGCCTGTCAATGCGTCTCATTCGCTGCAGCCCTGCAGTGCAAGTTACTGTGATGGACTAGCTGATACCCTTTGATGTTTGTCAACTAATGATTCGCTTAGATTTACCTCAGTCTGTGGAGCCTGTATTTATATCCCGTATCCACTGCAAATGCAATATGGACTTTGTAAGGGGTATCTAATAGTCGTATACAGGGCATTTAAGTCAACTTTGGGGTGCACATAATTGAAAATTAAGGGTTAAGTAAGGGTATCTGTCTACTCGATCGCATTGAACATATAGAATAATGGGTATTTATTAGTCGGATACAGCCTATTTATCTTTATATACATATGTGCATAAGAATGTGCTCAGCTCTAATGGCAATGCTGATTAGTGGGTATCTTCCAGCCGGGCACTCTACCCATACCCATACATATACATACATCCATATACATATATTTATAGCTCTCTCTCTCTCCCTCTCTCTCTTTCTGCATTGACAGCACTTGACTGCCTATTCACCGTCACCGATCTCGACGCGTTCGCATCGCATCAATCCCGTCTCCTCGTACCAGGTGCAGGCAGCATTGGCGGCATCGCGACGTCGCGAATCGATCAACAGCTCGATTGGGGCCACCTCGATACGCCGCCTGATCACGCTGAACAATCGCAACTGCCGTCACAAGGTGCCCGCCCATGTGCGCCAGAGGGTGTGGCGGCAGTTCACCTGCCTGAGCATCGCCCACGGCCTGATGAGCGCCGTCCTGCTGCCGGTGATGGCCTTGCAGGGCTCCAGCGCCGTCTGGCACCATCGCGAGCAGTGGCTGCCCATCGGGCCGAACATTGGCTCCCTGCTGCTGGGCGCACTCTTCCTGGTCGCCGCCTGCATGAGTGTGCCGGGCATACGGCTAATCCGGAGATTCGGCTATACCCCGCTGCTGGCCGGGAACTGCTTGGCCGTGACCTTGTTCCTGCTGTCGCACCTGTATGCCTCCATCTATACGCTGCTGCCGGCATACTTGCTGCTGGGCTTCATGCTGAGCGCCGCCAACAGCTGCAAGGCGGCACTGATTGTCCACTATGGCGGCAAGCTGAGCTGCTCCCACGAGCAGGAGTGCGCGTCGGATGCGCTGCTGGAGGAGCACAAGATGTTCTGCAATCGGGATCAGAAGGTGCGCCGCCTGGCCCGCTGGCTGCGTGCTGCCCAGGATCTCGGCCTGATCCTGGGCGCCCTGATGGCCTCACTGCTGCTCGCCTGCAATGCGAACGACTGGAGCTGCTCCTCGGGCAGCGCCGAGCCAGCCGGCAACGGCAGCCTGCTGCCCGCCACCAATTGGCCACAGCCGGAGGACTTCTACAATCGGAACGAGCATGGCGAACGCATCTGTGGAGCCGACATGTGCCCGCTGCAGCTGGACCCCAGCTGGTTCGCGGCCAATGACACGGGCGCCATCTATGCCGGCTTCATTGAGAGCGGCTCCCGTGCTGGTGGCCAGTCGCTGCTCTGGCTCTACGTGGTGCTCTCGCTGCTGGCGCTGCTGCTGTCCCTGCTCCAGGGACGTCAGGTTCTGGTGGCCGCCAACAGGCCAGAGCGTTCGCTCAAGGATGTCACGGACACGCTGCTCTTTGCCGGACCGTTGGCCTACTTCGTGGGCACCGAACAGGGCTACATGCTGGGCGACTTTCTGCGCGCCTTTGTCTCCTGCTCCCTGGGAATCAACATGATACCGGGCGCCCTCATTGGCATGGGCATAATGCAGCTGATCGTCTCCTGCACGCTCAGCATGCTGCTCCGGCACACCAAGCGCATCGTGGTCATATGTGAGTAGCAATTGATGTGTGTGTGTGTGTTTGTGTACACAGCATGTTTAAGGCTGATCCTAATGATGCTTCAACTCAATCCTACAGTGGCTGGCTTCTTCTTTCATTCGTGCTTGCTGCTGGCGCTGTCCAGCTGGAAGCCGTCGAGCGACGATAGCGCCCTCTTCTATGTGATAGCCGCCTCGTGGGGCGCCTGCAATGGCATGTGGGAGACGCTGCTCCTCTCGCTGGTCACGCTCAATCATGTCCAGCACGATCATGTGACGGATGTGACGGCACCGCTGCAATCGATGCGTTTCCTCGGCCTGGCCATCACGTTTGCGGCGCACGGCTTCCTCTGCGAATCGGTGAAGATCATTGCGCTCGTCGTCCTGCTGGTGATCAGTGTGCCGCCCTATGCGATGCTCGAGATACGCCTGGAGGCGCAGCGGAAGGCGACGCTGATCAGCTTATGACGCAGCTACTTCAGCTAGTCCCGGAGCCGGGGCACTGTGGCACGCACGCACACCATGTAACCAGCATCGGAAGCGGCGTATCGCAGGCTGACTGACTGACTGATCGATACCGTCGATCAGCAGCTATAATGCCCCATCCAGAACGGAGCAAAGACATATTCGAGTTCGCTCAATCCAAACAGTATTCAGATTAGACACAGATAGAGTGGGAGCTGGAGAGAGAAGAGACAAGGAGGGGAGGTGGAGAGCTAGAGAAGCAGAGATAGAGAGAGAGAGAGGGAAAGTTTAGCAAATTTTGAACTCAGTCGCACTCTTAGTCCAAGTCCATACACTGTCTATATATCAATATATACACCTACATATACATATATATATATATACCCTATACACACACACACATATATATAATCTAATTGAAACATATACCAGTGCCAACAATGTTGTTCCAAATCTTTACCACGAAATTTGGACTAAGTAAGCCACGCGGTCCAGGGCCTAACGTATCGTAGTTGATCTATTTAGCATATTAGAAGCGTTCTTCTCTGTCTGTTTCCCATGGATAATACTTAGGCTTAGCTTCAAGAATGGTAATGGATATTTTTAAGTGACTATTTTGTGCCATACATACATACATATACATATATATTAACTGTATTCCTCGATGTATGTAAAACTACGCCTAAATCTAATCTAAAGCATGTTTCTTAACGAACGAAAAACCAAACTAGAATGAATCTAGAAATCATGTTCTGCATTTCGTTTTCGATTAGGGTTAATTTAATATGATTATAAAACTTCAGACAAACTTAGCTTTGTTCAGTTATTCCATAAAAGAGAAATAGATACAATTGAAGTTAGATCAGATTGTTTGAACTCAATTTACAAAATGTTTGCTCTTTACATTTTCAACAAGTTTTATTTTGCTTCTTTCAATGAAATCGAAAACGAATCATGGAACAGATTCGCAACTATTATTAGCTCTGAATTGCTGTGAACTGGATAGAAAATTTGTTAGCCTCTAGAATGTATTTGGATGTTTGAATCGTGTTGTCTCCATAATGTTCTTCTCGATGTACTTAAAAGATATATGTATAAATATAGCAATAGATATATACGATTGTCTATGTGGGATGAGATGTCGTCCAATCGGTCAATTGTCGAGGCGAGCCGAGAAGAGAAAGAAAAAGAAAGAGAGAGATAGAAAGAGAGAGAGATAGAAAGGGAGAGAGAGTTGGATGCTGAGCGAACTTTCCATTTATTACCATCTGTTTACCAAAACTATCCAATAAATAAACGAAAAGTATAAAACAAGTTATATAATATATGTACAATCGCTAGGATAGCACAGGTGAAATCCTAAGATCTAAGAACAATGTTAACATTTTATGCAGAAACAAAAGAGAAAAACAAAACTTTTTAGAAAACCAAAATGGAAAAATTATATAAATAAATAGATTTTTGTAATTGAGACTTTATATGGACAGCTAACGGATCAGGAATGTTTGTGGTTAAAGTATTCAAGATTGAACTCTATAGAATTTGATTCTTTTTTTTCTAGGCAACACCTAGATAATATACACAAGTTAAAGTAAATGAGAAAAAAATACACAGTGATAAATAAATTGAAAAGAACACTAATTAAACTAGAGTTAACCAAAGAATACCTTTAAAAAAATATATTTAAAAAATATCTAAAAATCAAATTTAAAAAAAAGGGAAAAAATGTTAAGCACATGCCAAATGTATAAGTTTAAACAATTTATGAATAAATAATGTGACAACTTATTTAAATGTGTACAAAAACAATAAAGAGTTTATCCACATTGATCTGCGCTCTAATTGGCTCTTCAATCGAACAGTGGGAGAGAAAAGTATAAGTCCGAATGATTTTATCTAGTCCATTTTAGAAAACAAAATAATAAATTCAAAATCTTAAACGTTTCATAAATAAAAAAATATATATATATTTTAATTACTAAATATATTCCATTGGGGTTTTTTTTGTACTATTTATTATTTTTATTTTTATTTATTTTTATTTTTTTGTTAACTTATATTTTGTTAGATTTGTTTTAAGTCTAACTTTGAATGGTATAATATATTAACTAGTTTTTGTAATATTTATTTATTTAACATAAAATCCCATTGGCCAGCTCTATTTGCCACAGGCTATAGCCATAGCAGGTCAACCGATTCGACGTGTTAACATATTTACGGCTGGCAGTGCGGCGCAACCACCAGAGGTCAACAAAAAGAGCTTAACTTGTTTACTTACAACGCCATTCATGACGTCGAAGCTTTTACTAAAGCTCAAACCAGTCAAACACCGAGAGACCGAACGAGGAAGAAGCAACAAATTATTGAGAGCGAAAGAGAGAGAGAGAGAGAGCGTGCAAGAGCGTGTACTTTCTGACAGTTAGTTTAATGCTTAGCTTCGTTTAGCCTCTCTTGCACTTTCCCACCCCCATTTTGTAATGCACA